AGACTTATAACTGATAGGCTGACACAAATCCTCCAGCAATTAGAGCAGAGTCAACAAGACAATTCTACTAATAACAAAGAAAAAAGAAATAATAAAAATCATGGCTGAGATAAATGAGAGGGAAAACAAGGCCAAAAAAAAAAATCAATGCAGCAACAAGCTGGTTCTTAGAAAGAATTAGAATTGATAGACCATTGGCAAACCTAACCAAAGAAAGGAAGGAACAAATACCAATAATCAGGATGAGGGATGAAACAGGAAACTACAACTGACCCTAAAGGCTAATTACATAGTACTATGAAGGCTGTACTCCATTGAATTCAACAACTCAGAAAACATGGACAAATATTTAGAAAAACAACCCCAGATGGATATCAAGAACCTCAACAGATCCATAGCAATAGAAGAAATAGACAATATTATCAAGGGCATAACAACTAAAAAGCCACAGGGATATACCACAGGGACAGATGGCTTCACAGGAGAATTCTACCAAACATTCAGGGAAGTACTGACACCAATCCTACACAAACTCTTCCAGAGCATAGAAAAAGATATCAAACTCCCGTACTGTTTCTATGAAGTTAATATAACTCTGATACGTAAAGCAGGCAAAAATCCCCACAAGAATTGAGAACTACAGACTGACATCTCCAATGAAAATTGATGTAAAATCCTTTAACAGAATACTGGCCAATAGAATGCAAGACTAGATAAAACAAATAATTCACTATGACCAAGTGGGATTCATTCCAGGGATGCAGGATGGTTCAACATACAAAAGTTCATCAACATTATTTGCGACAATGACAAGAAAAAGGATAAGAACCACATGATAACATCAATAGATGCAAAAAACAAAACTATCAATAGACTCAGAAAAAGCATTCAATATCCAACACCCATTCCTGTTTAGGACACTCAAGAAGATAGGAATGGAAGGAAAATTCCTTGATATAATACAAGTTATACATGAAAAACCAACAGCCAATGTGGTAGTCAATGGAGAAAAGATGAAAACAATCCCCCTCAAAAAGGGGACTAGATAAGGATGCCCCTTGTCCCCTTTTTTATTTGACATTGTACTGGAGGTCCTAGCTAGCAACATAAGGCAAAGAAAAGACATCAAAGGTATTCACCTGGGGAAGGAAGAGGTGAAACAATTGTTATTCCCAGATAATATGATTTTATATGTGGGAAATCCCAAAAGCTCCACAAAAGGAGTACTGGAAGTGATAGAGGAATATGGCAGAATGGCAGAATACAAGATCAACAAACAGAAGTCTATCGGGCTACTATATACATCAGAGGAGACACCACAGAAGAAGAGATCAAACAGGTAGGGTCCTTCACAATAGCCAAGCATAAATTGAAATAGCTAGGGATATACCTAACCAAAAAACAAAAGATTGTACAAAGAAAATTACACACTACAAGAAACTAAAAGTGACCTCCACAAATGGAAGAATATCCATGCTCATGGATTGGAAGACTTAATAATAGTAAAGATGTTCGTCCTACCCAACACACTATATAAGTAAACCGCTATCCCGATACAAATACCAACATTTTTTTCTCAAAGAATTGGAAAAACTGACAACCAACTTCATATGGAGAATGAAGAAGGCCAGAATTAGCAGAGAATTGAAGTCGAAGGACAAAGTCGGAGGGCTTGCTTTACCTGACTTTAGCACCTATTGTGCAGTCACAGTAGTCAAGACAGCATGGTACTGGCGTAATGACAGATACTCAGACCAATGGAAAAGAACTGAAAACTCAGAATTTGAATCATCAACATACAGACAACTGATCTTAAATAAGGACCCCCAAAATATCAAATGAGAAGCAGATCCCCCTCTTCAACAAGTGGTGATGGAAAAAATGGATATCTACCTGCAGAAAAATGAAACAAAACCCTTATCTCACTCCATGGACAAGAATAAACTCAAGGTGGATCACAGACCTCAAGATAAAACCCCAAACTACTAGGGCCATTAGTGAGGGAACTGGGACAAACACAAGAACTTTGACACAGGGGATACACAGATTATCGGAGATAGGGAATGACACAAACACAGGGGAAGCACAAATTGACAAAAACCGGAAGATAAAAAACCGATGTTCATCAAAAGATTTTGTTAAGAGAGTAGTAAGGAGCCCACAGACAGGGAAGACATCTTTACCAATGACACATCAGGCAAAGGCCTTATTACTAAAATCTACAATACTCTGCTAGACTGTGATAAGAAAAAAAAAAAGCCTGTTGAGGAGGTGGGCAAAAGACCTGAACATAAATTTGACAAAAGCGGAAATCTGATTGGCCAATAAAAATATGAGAAAATGTTCCTGATCATTAGTCTTAAGGGAAATGCAAGTTAAAACAACGATGAGATACCACCTAACATCCTCGAAGATAGCCCAATTCAAAACCTCAAAAAGCAACAAGTGTTGGAGGGGGTGTGGTGAGATAGGAACTCTCACGCATTGCTGGTGGTCTTGTAGATATGTGCAGCCATTATAAAAACTGATTTGGTGATAACCTCAAACAAATGGAAATTGAGCTACCATATGACACAGTAATCCCTCTACTGGCGTATACCCAGAAGAAGTAAGAAACAGACCACATCCATACATCCGAGCTCCAATGTTCATCGTGGCACAGTTCACTAATGCAAAGAGTTGGAGAAAACCCAAAGTATTAAGGTAGCAGACAGACATTGGGCCTCTACTCAAGCCCTCCCTCAATGATTGCTTAAGCCCTCCCTGCCCAACATGATCGCTTAAGACAAAATAGGTGCATAAGAAAATAAGAAGAAAGCTGATATGCCCTCCTTTATTAGAAGATATAGCATCTGGGGTCTTAAAAGCTTAAAGTTAAACAAGCAGCCATCTAACAGGGAAGCAACAAAGCCCAAATGGAAGAAGCACATCAACCTGTGTGATCACAAGGTGTCCACGGGATCAGGTGGAAGATTCAAAACAAACAATCATATTGATGTGAATGAGGAAGGTCAGAGTGGAGACCCAAAGCCCATCTGTAGACAATTGGACATCCCTCATAGAAGGGCCACAAGGAGGAAAGAGAATAGCCAGGGTGGATTATAGCAACAATGAAATGCACAACAATCCTCTAGTCCTTTAAAGCTTCCTCTCTGTGCCCCCCCACACACACAATCATGACCCAGTTCTACATTACAAATCCAACTAGACCTGAGTATGTACATTGGTAAAGATAAGAAATCTCGACACATGGAATCCAGGGTAGATAAACCCCTCAGGAACAGTAATGGGTGTAACGATTCCATGAGGGTAGGGGAAAGTGGAAGAAGGTGGGGGAAGGGGGTAAAAGGGAAAACAGATTGCAATGATCAATGTAAAACCACCCCCCAGGAGGAGGAGTAACAAGAAACATGGGTGAAGGGAGAGCGTGAATGGTGTAAGATATGATAATAATAATTTGTAATTTATGAAGGGTTCATGAGGGTGGGAGGGTAGGGAAGAAAGGGGAGGGGGGGGAGGAGCCACTACCAAGGGCTCAAGTAGAAAGAAAATGTTTTGAAAATGATGATGCCAACATATGTACAAATGTGCTTAACACAATGGATGTGTGTATGGATTGTGATAAGAGCTGTAAGAGCCCCCAATAAAATGATCTTGGAAAAAAAAGAAAGAAAAAATTATGATGGCAACATATGCACAAATGTGACTGATACAATCAATGTATGGATTGTTATAAGACCTGTAAGAGCCCCCAATAAAATGATTTTTTTTTTAAACAGAGGGACCTAGTCTCAGGAAGAGGAATAAATCTTTCTCTACACTTGAGAGAAAGAGGTCCCACAGTGGACAGGGATACATGAAAGTGTTTATGCATTCTCAAACACCTCTCACAGATGTAAGGCCTTCGCCAAGCTTGAATGTGACTTCCACAATCATTCTCCATTACTGTTTACTGGTCACTCACCTGAACAAATTTCACCATTGCATTTTTCTAATATGGACGCAGGTGGTTCTTGTTCCAACCAAGAGAATGCATCCGGTTTACTAACTTGATAACCTGTCCGTGAGAAATCACAGAATCTTAGACACACCAAAATCGACTTTAGGTTTGTGAAGACAAATCTGCCACTTGGAGAGCACCATAGCCCCAAATAAAGAGAGAGACAAAGACAAGCCAATCACTAGAGAGCGCTCCTCACCGATGGAAACCAGGTGGCGGTAGGTCTCCAACATCACATCCTGATAGAGGGTCTTCTGAACAGGGTCCAGGAGCTGCCACTCCTCCCAGGAGAACTTTATAGCTACATCGCTGAGTGTCACTGATTTCTATAGCAAAAGGATTATATTCAATGAAGTAATTTTCATTTCATGATATGAAAGAAATATAAAAGTAATTTTTCTGCTCAGTTCTTCTATAAAGCGTGCATCTATAACACCTAGGCTTGTTTTTGTGTATTTCTTCGCAGATACCTTTTAGTAAAAGAAAAAACATAATAAACTATTCGGAATGAGTACATTCCTTAGTCCACCTATAATGAAATTAGAATTTTCTACATGTGACTGTGAAAGTGTCCTAGAAAGCTCACAGATATACATCCACACATTTTACACAAGTACATACATGTTTAAATTGAAAACAGTAGAGTGTGAGGAGGAGTTGGAAATGTTACCAGGACCCACATTCTCAGAGCCTTTGTAACGTCATTGGTGCTAACTCTCGGGGGCAGCTCAGGGTTTATTTCTATGAGGTGGAGCTCACTCACATCTCAACTCTTCAACTTGTTTTGGCAATTCTTTTTTTTTTTTTTTTTTTTTTTTTTTTTTTTACCATTCATCATTGTGAGTTTTGGCAATTCTTAAACAAGTCATTCCCCTGACAACACTCTGCCTCTTTTCTGGATGTGCTGATCCACTGCCAGGGCCCAGAAAAACTCATAGATCACAGGGGCTGATTGAGGAACAGAAGGATTTGGGGTCAGGAACAAAAGGCTATACTCAAGACCAGCATAAGAGAGCATGTAGCCCAAGTCTCCCTTCTTCAGTGCAGAGCAGCTCGCTCAGCTCCTATGGACCACCGTAGGACAGGCTCTTCTTGTCCATGGCAAGTCAGGTTGTTCTTGGGCATCTTAAAGAGCCTTCCTATTACAAACTCCTCTTGGTCCTGCCATTGGTCACCACCGGCTCTGCCACAGGGCCTGTTCTGCTTCTGCAGCCATTGGCTTGGCTGCTGTGAGCATCCTACACTGGCTCAGGCAGGGAAGTGGCTGTGTTATCAGCAGGCAACAGATTTAAAGATGCACTGCAGGACATCATTAGAGTATTCAAAAGCAAGGATGTTACTTTGAGGACTAAAGGACTTCAGATCCATGCCAGGGTATTTTCTTTCTTTCTTTTTTTAATGTAATCGATGTTTTAAGTACTTTATTCAAGACAAAAGTCCTTTTTGAAAGTACATCCAGTAACTATCTAATAAGATGTATTTCTCTGCCAGCACATTGAAAAGGCCATCAGTATCTCCCCTTGACATGGTTTATTTTTTTCCCAATTAAAAAACAATATAAATCCACAATGCAATTTCGGGAATTGCTTGAAGAAAATAAGCTGACAAGTCAAAAATATTTCTGGTGTTGGTCCTAAATTTTGCCACAGTGCAAATCTTTTTACTGTAGAATCATACACGTGTCCGGTGGTGGTGGTGGTGTCAGGTGCTGGTCACCTACTGCTGACCCATGACAAGGAAATGCAGCTGGGCCCCTGGCCATCCTCAATTGTTCCGACATCTGTGCCCCTGTGCCCGCTGTTGCAGCCACTGTGTCAACCCACCTCTGAGCGCCTTCCTTTTTTTCACTGCCCGCTGTTTTACCAAGCCTGCCGTCCTTGGCCAGGGACTGGTTTCTCCTGATAACACGCCTAAACTAAGTGAGAAGGAGTCTCGCCATCTTTTATTTCCTTTTCTTTTTCTAATCATTTCTGGGGGGCTCTTACAGCTCTAATCACAATCCATACATACTTCCATTGTGTCAAGCACATTTGTACATTTGTTGCCATCATCATTCTCAAAACATTTGCTTTTTAAGGGTTTGGGTTGGGGTGTTGGTTAGGTTTAAGGTTAGTGTGAGAGTTAGCGTTAGGTTGAGGGTGAGGGTGTTGCTTATGGTTATGGTGTTCGTTAGGGTTAGGGTTAGTGTGTTGGTTATGGTTAGTGTGTTGTTTAGGGTTAGGTTTAGGGATAGAGTTAGCCAAAACATTAAAAAAAAAATTTTTTTTCTTTCTACTTGAGCCCTTGCTATCAGCTTCCTTTTTATTTCTAAAGAGTATTCTGGAGTACTTCTTCACAGACAGATTTATTTATTCCTTTCATGCCACGGTATTTTCAGTCGCCTCATATAGAGGTGAAAGCTGGACACTGAATCAAGGAGACCAAAGAAGAACGGATGCATTTGAGCTGTGGTGCCGGCCAAGGATGTTAGAAGCGTCATGCGCTGCCAACACGATGAGCAACTCTGTCCTGGAAGCCAGGGCGCTCCTCTGAGGCAAGGATGGCCAGACTGTCTGACATACTTTGGACACGTAGTCAGGAGAGACCAGTCCCTGGAGAAAGATGTCCTGCTGCGTAAAGTAACTGGGTAGCACAAGTGAAAAGTCCTCAAGGAGAAAGGTTGATATAGTGTCTGCAACAATGGGGTCAAGTATAGGATTGTTTTGTTATGCACAGGTATGGGATACAAACAGGTTATTCCCCAGGTTGTCTCCCCCATATTATATGCCAAACCTAAGATGCCACTTGCTAACATATGGACAATGGCTATATACTTGGAGGTCAACTGCTTAGAGCAGTGGTTCTCAACCTGTAGGTCGTGACCCCTTTGGGGGGTTGAATGACCCTTTCACAGGGGTTGCCTGATTCCTAATAATAGCAAAATTACAGTTATGAAGTAGCAATGAAAATAATTTTATGGTTGGGGAGGGGTCACCACAATATGAGGAACTGTATTAAAGAGTCACAGCATTAGGAAGGTTGAGAACCACTGGCTTAGAGTTTATCTGCCTGAGGGTTATCAGTCATCTAGAGCAGCACTTCTCAACCCGTGGGTTGCGACCCCTTTGGGGGTTGAACGACTCTTTCACAGGGGTCGTCTAAGACCACCAGAAAACACATTACAATATACATTAAAATTGCTAACACTAGCAAAATTACAGTTATGAAGTAGCAATGAAATCATTTTATGGTTGGGGGGGTCACCACCACATGAGGAACTGTATTAAGTGGTCAGGGCATTAGGAAGGTTGAGAACCCCTGATCTACAGCAAACAGACCCTATTGTCTGTCCTACCCTAGGTGGGGCCCACTCCCTGTTGATACAGAGAGTGGCTTGTTTCCCTGAAGGAGAACCCAAAACAAGGCCACGCCAACTCAGAGGGTCAAGGTTAGGCTACGATCTTGAATCTATAGTCCGGGCATCTTGTCCTATGTGTGCCCCAAGTGTCTCCCCTTCCTATTGTGTGTACACTCCTAGCTGGTCCCCCTCCTGTCGCCTATATGCCTGTTGCACAGTCCCTTCCTGTTACGTGTGTGGTTACCCATAATCAGGGGAACTTGCATGTTCCCTAAATGTATATAAACCATGATTGGAAATAAATTCTCGCTCTCTGCACAGATCTGCCTGCTGACATCATGGCCGTCTGGGAGGTGAGCAATTGCATGCCTTATCTTGTCTGATATCTCATTAATTTTACCCCAAAATTATACAACCGCCCCTTGGACCCATTCGGTTGTGGGGGCTGGTACCCAACATAGGGTCACTATGTGTTGGACAAACTCGGTGGCACCTAACAAAAACAACACTGTGAGCCAGCAGCCTGCTGTCTGCCTTCCCCATTTCGGGTTCCTCAGCGATTGCAACAGCAATCTATCATTTGTCTTGATATACCAACTTCACCTATTAGGCAGCAGTATGTTGCCTGACCTGATCATCTGGGTTCGTCAATCTTTGCTAACATAGCAGTGGAGAGACTCCTCCAGACGGATATCTATCGACCCTGTGGATTTGGGATTGCCAGGTTCCACATCCTTTAGATTTGTTTGACACTTCTGTAGTTTGGGACTGATGTTGATGGTGATTCTCCTACCTCTGTACTTGAAAGATGTTGGAATGCACCTGCCATTTTTAAACTCCCATGAATAACAGTTGGGCTTTAGATACTCTAGGAGAATGTTGCTCTTCAGGATATTATGTAACATAACCTTTAGAAGGAAACCTATTCAGACAAAATGTAGTGTTACTCTCATAATCAGTGTTATTTCTGATCTTATACACAGCTGATGTTGAATTCTGAGTCAAAGCTTACTTCTCCCCAGTTCCCACTTTTCCAAATGTGCATTTTTCTGATGAACTGAACTGGCATCCCACAGGCTTCTACAAATCCACTAGGGACCCACAAAACACAAAACAAGCCAAAAGTCACCTGAGCGCTGATCATTTTCTTTGGTCCTTCAGACACTGCCAGAAGCAGAGATGCTCTGTCTTGGTGCTTTCTGGATCAGCTTCAGTTTTATTCAGAGACTTCTGTCTCTCATGAAGCAACAATCCCCAAACCAGGCACCTCCTCTTCCTTCCTCCCAGTGACTCTCTTTCGGCTGGAGATTTAGAATCTGTGGATTGATGGGAGAATACACTGAGTGACACATCACCTGTTGATCTAGATGTCATTACTATTCCTGTCCCTGTTGACTGGCCTTTTATTTAGTGATTCAAAACATATGACATGGGTTATAAAACCTAACATTCAGAATTGCAGAAATATGGTAAAAGATGACTTTAAACAAAAATGAAGCCTGGAATCTGAATACAAATGTAGGGGGTTAAAAAAAAAGTGGGGGGGGGGACAGGAGTAATCCCTACCTCACAACATAAAAACTATCAATTCGTGGTAAGAAATGATTCTCAATAGAAATGAAAAACCATTGAACCATGAAGAAGACATGTTGATATTAGAGTATGGGAAAATATTTAACTCTGCTTTATTAAACTCTATGATAAACTGAAGATTAATTAGTTTGCTGTAGGAACTGTAAAACTGTCCAACCACTTTAGGGGAAAAAAGTTTAAAAGTCACCATCATGTGATTGAGAGTGATAGGCACCCCGTAGGACAGAGTAGAACTGGCCCACGGAGTTTCTGAGACGGTATATCTTTACAAGAGCAAGCGGCAGCAGTTTTTCTCCTATGTAAATACTAGTGGATTCGCGCCACTAACCTTGAGTTTAGTAGTCAAGTGCTTAAAAGACTGCAACACCAGTCTCCTTTAAAAACACTTAGGTGTCATTCTTAGTTGGAAAATTATATACATTTTGAAACAATATTGTATTTTAGTATACATACCCTGATAAAAGTGCTTATTTGAATCCCAAGATTCAAATGTATGTATGCCAATGTATCCCAAGATGTAACAACATTTTTCAAGCAGGATTACTGTAGAAACTCAATATGGTGTGATGGCTTCCTATACTCATAGACAGCTCTGCTAGCCATGGTCCTTTAACTGCCTCCGATGACTGGGTCACACTTGAGCCCAAGGGGCCTAGACAGCATGCTAACAGTGGCTTGTACATTCTGAGGTGAGACTGTGCAACTAATGGGTGGGGAACCCTCATATAGAGATTGGTTACTTCTGACATCTTGTTAGGTTTCACTGATCCAACTAGGTCACTACCATGGGGGGGGGGGGGAAGAGCTAGAATGTAGTGTCCTTTGGACCTGAGCTCTTTACACTGAAACCCCTCAACCAGAAGAGAGAGCGGGGACACAACAGAGAGCAAGAGGTGGGGAGAAACCACAGCAGAACCAAGAGCAGGCGACAAAGAGTGGTCTGCTGGGGCCTCAGAGTAAGAAAGGTGTGTCACTGTGTAGGAGGGTAGTATGGGGTCTGGTTTGCCTGTGGCTACTTTGCTGGGGAACCAAGATTGTCAGTCCACGAGGTAGAATTCAGTGCCTTTGAGTCCAGGCTCACGGTGGATTGGGTATTTATAAAGCTAAAACAGCTTTGTAGCACACTCTCCTTCGGGGCAGAAGCCAAGGGGCTGCAAGGCTGGCAAAGCTGCAGGTGTGGCAGGGAAAAGGCTGCTGCAATGGGAGCACTGTGTCCCGAGTCATTTCTGTTGCTGAATTGTAACCTGTTACGTACCCACTTAATTTTAATAATCCAGACTAATGTATAAGTTCTGTGGGGCCACTGCAATGAATCATCGAACCCATAGGGTGGAGAATGTTGTAGAAGAAATGACAGATGTCTGAATCGGTACCAAAAATGTTAAGAGGTGGAGTCTGTTTTGATTTTCATTTGGTAGGACTCCGTCTTGGATGGATGCTGATTCTCTCCCCCCCATCGCTCAGTTACAGGAGGGAAGATGCTTCCCCCGTGTCACTTGTTATAGAGTTACTGGAGACCATTCTAAGGCACTGCCTTTACTGTGCACAAAAGAATTTTCCAAAACTTTACATTTTATTTTCAATTTGCAAAATCCATTTGTAAGTCTATGTCTTTGCCCACATTGTACCATAAGAAGCAAAGAGAAGTCACACGGTCCCTTTAAGGTCTAGCTTAGAAAGGCCATCAGTCAGTTCTCCAAGTTCATCACTTACCATTCCACCTTCCACCCCACAAGTGAACAAAATCCAGACAACTTCCCTCCCACTGCATGGAAAGCATTGCTTTTCTCCAGTGTCCAGTCAGTCATCCTCTTCTCGTAAAGTTTTACCGCAAGCACGTTCCCAGTCACCTTTGTAGCAGCATCTATTGCCGGTGCTGTAGAGATTCTCCAGGACAGCAAAGTCTTTCTGTCTTCTTGCCCACTTCCCTCTGAGCCTTCACCACAACTGCCTGTGGGAGCTATACTGACAGCAGTCTTTCCAGGGCACTCTCAGCTTATACTAGGCACCTTCTACGTCTCTGAGCATCCATCCACTACCCAACTCCACACGCACTTTCACATCGGAAATACTTCTGCGAACAGCACCCTGACTTCTCAGCACCAAACTGCCGCACTTAGGTAGCGCTGCTGTACCATGAATCTCATGTGAATGGTTCTAACCAACTGGAATCTATTTTCCCTCAGCTGAGCAGCCACCCTGTCAACTCTGACTTACGGTGACCTTACGGGACAGAGCACAACTGCCCCTGTGAGTTTCGGAGACTGTAACACTTCACAGAAGTGGGAAGCTTCACCTTTCCCTGCTGGAGCAGCTGGGGGCTTCAAACTGCTGACTTTGGAATGAGGAGCCCAACGCCTCGCCCACTGCACGCCACCAGGGCACCATGCAGTGCCTCTCTCTCCGTCAGCTCCCAGGTAAGTTCCCTTTCAGCTTCTCTTTCTTGGTCCTCTGGAGTTCGCCACGTGGTTTAGCATCTTTCTTTCCCCATCTCGGCTGACTTGCTTTCTGAATTTCTTTATATCTCACAAGAGAGGGACTCAAAATATACCCTCTATTAATCTTGCATCGCCAACATAACGCAGGTGTAGAGGTCAGAATTGACAACTTATATGTTCGGGCCATCATTCAATCCATCAAGGTCAGCAAAGCAAAAAGTGTGCATGTATGTGAAGCTTGGTGGGATTGGACATCACCTACTTCATGACGGCACTCCTACTTCTGCAGGGAGAAAGCCCCCCTCGGCCAACAGGAAGTGTGGCCAGTGAGTCCCTCAGACAGCAGTGAGCCAACTGCAGAATGAGCGGAGAAACAGGTGACGACCTAGAGCGAGGGCACTGCTGTGCACGACTCACTGGGGCCCTTCTCGCCAGCGAACTAGTAACTCCCACCCAGAGACTGGGTAGGACTCCACCCGAGGAAAGGGCTGTGGCCCACCAAGGGCATTGGATAAAAAGCAAACAAAAAAGCAAACAAGGTCCATGGTAGGCCTGTGGGCTGAGGCCTTACAATGGGATCACTCAGTCTGGCAGGTCTCCCAGTGACTGGATGGCAGGAAGGTGAAGGCAGAGAGAGAGGGAGGGGAACTTCCCTTTCTCCTTATGAGAGATGGCCACGCCCACCAGGAGGCACCATCAGGCTGTGACCTGATTGACAGGCTAAACTCCACCCTTACACTTTCATATCTTCCAGTTGACATGGAAATTAAGTGAACTACCACAGACCTAG